AAGACTTCTGCCACCATGACGTCAGAAACAGACTGACTTCCTAGGAAATCCCCTTGGCTCAAACTGGTGCAGTGAAGAACACAGATCTTAATCTGACACGAAAAATGCTTGTGCATAGTACACGCTCAGTAAATACTAGCTCTCGTCAGCAGTAATAATAATGAAGTACCCGGCACACAGCAGGTGCCCAGTAAATGGTAGCTCCCTGGTCCCAGGGGGACAGAAGTTGGAGGCAGTTGGCAGCCGCCCACCCAACCTCATCCCCAGGGCCTCCACTTGTGCACAAGGAGTCAGAGCACCAAATGCAACCCTTTGGTACACAGGTGAGGAAACTGAGGCCTAGACAGGGAGGACTTGCCCAAAGTCAGAAGCAAGGTCTGTCCCTAGAACCTGGGTCCCCCAGGCCAACGCCTTGTCCTCCTGCCGAACTCAGCCAGCCCGCGGAGGGAGGTTTTCAGGGTGTGCTCCCTCCAGCTTCAGCCCAGCCGTGCTGATTCCCAAGGACAGCTTGGACTCCTCGAGGAGAGCGTGAGGGCTTATCTGGAAGGCTGAGCTTCGCCTCTGCGTGAGGCAGGTGCAGCTTGTTGACTTGATGGAGCCCGTGGAAGCCTGCTGTCCTGCGGGTCAGGAAGGAAAGGGGTCACAGGGGAGGCCCATCCTGGTCCCTGGTTCCCTGAGCCTTTAGGAGCTGTGGATATCAGCGTGGCCATCCAGCCAAGCGGCCCCTGGCGTTGAGATGGCAGGGGCCACAGTGGCCACTTGCTTTCTCCTGGTTTCTGGCCTTCCCTAAGACTCTCAACCGCAGGCATTGGTCCGGTCTCTTTCCCTTAGGCCCCCTTTCCACTGCTTCCACCCCTCGGCCCACCCCCACAAGTCAGTGAGACCCTGCAGCAAGGAAGTGGCATTCACACCAGGCTTGAGTGACCCCAAAGCCCATGCCCTTTTTGCTTGGTCTCACTGCCTCCCAGGTGTCCCCATGTGCTGTTTCCTGTCGGTGCCTCTTTCCCAGTGACCATTCCTTCCCCTTCCATGGCCTCTTTCTGGAGGAAGCTCATTCCCCAAGGGCCTGGCAGGAGCTCCCTGGTGGGGATGGTGATGACAAGGTCAAAGAACAGCTCCCAGAGGGCACGGGGCGCCCAGAGGTGCTGTCAGCAAAGGAAGCTGCTCACAGTCAGCTCGCCCTGAGCACCTGCGCTGCAGGAAGTGAAGGGGACTTTGCTGGAAATCTGCCTTTAATCTTGGCTTCCTGTTTTCTGCCCTGGGGGACCGCCCAGAAGGTCTGAGTTTCAAACTATTTCACACCAGCTTCTCTAAACTGTCATCTCAGAGCAAAGAGGCTGGGGGAGGGGAAGAGGCAGGGCAGAGTGAGGAGAGCCCCTTCCCTTCCCAGGGGACCCTGGGAACAGAGCACAGTCCACCCATAAAGGTGCTTAAGCTCTGGACTTCTGGCCACCGCCAACCAACCTCTTTGCATCGAGCTAGCCCAGTGGGCCCGCATCATCAAAACGCAGCCAGAAGTCTGTGCTCTGTTCCCCATATCCAGCGGTCTCCAGCCTCTCTCTTTTCTCCATTCCCCCAGGGTGGGCCCCGCCAGCCAGGGATAAGTAGCCTAGCCTGGGAAAGCTAGCGCTTGAGCCTACCTGGCTGGAAGGGGGCTCCTCCTAAATTTCCTCCCCAATTCTAAAACCCGAGGACGCTTCTCTGATGATTTCCTACCCTGAAGCGCGCTGAGTGAGGAGGCTGTTTGGTGCTCCAGGCTTTGGAGGTCCTCAGAGAGCTCAACCCCAGTCCTGGAGGTGGACTCTAGAAAAGATCTTGTTGCAGCCTCAGGGGCCTTGTCTGTAAAATGTGGCTCCAAACGCCAACTTGCCATCTCCACGTCTCAAGGGGTCTTCAACTCAGTTTGTCCAAAATCCAGCTCTTGAACGTTACCCCCAGCCTGCCCCTCTCCCAAATCCTCCCTACCTCAGCAGAGAGCACACTGTTTCCCACCTGCTCCAGCCACACCTGAGAATCAGGCCTGCCTTCTCCTGTGGCCTCACTCCCCACCAACAGCCCCTCACCGAGAGCTGTCAGGTGGCTCTTTTTTGTCCGCGGGGCCCATGCCCATTAGCCCTGGCTGGACTATGCAAAGCCTCCTCAGTGGTTTCTTGACCTTCCCTCAATCATGTCACTCCCCTGCTTGAAATCCTTCAATGCCTCCCCATTGCTCATATAATACAGTCTGAACTCGTATAATAGAATCCTTGCCCACAAGGCCCTACAGGATCTGGTCCCGTCCTCTTATACCACTCTCACTCGCTTGCTGGTCTCGTCACCTTGGCCTTCTGGCTGATCCTCAGGCCACTGAGCCCTCTGTGCCGGTCTCCCCCAGTCCTCTCTCCTCCATCAAATATTCATTGCTTTCATACCAGGTGTCTGACTGGCCTGCTGACTTATTTATCCTATTGGGCAAGAACCACGGTGGTCTTGCTCACGTCTTCATCTCCAGCATCCAGAACGGTGCCTACAATTAGTAGGTGATCAGTAAGCACTTATGAGTGAGCGAATGAATGAACGAATGAATGGTGAGGTTGGAAGTTAACGGGCTCTTCCACCAGAGGACAGCTCTGTGGGGCAGGACCCTCCAGCGATGTGTCCTTTGTGCCTGGGGTTCAGGAGAGTTAAACAATGTTATTTCACTCTGCTGTGAAGAGGTGGAGCCAGGATTCAAATGCAAGTCCATTTGGCTCCAAAGTCCACACTCTGGGCCACAAGAAACCCAGGGAAAAGTCAAGTGTGTTCAGGGGTAAAGGAAGATGGGTTGCCGACAAAACTGGGACGGGGATCTGAGTCTTTTCCCCAAATCCCCACAGTCCTTTCCCATTTTGCCAGCTGATGCAGTTGGGGGAGGGGAGATATCAACTTCTCCCTTCCAGAAGCCATTGCAGAACTGCTGAAGTGCTTTCCTTTACGCTGAGGGGTGGCCCCATCTGGGCCCCACTTTATCATTCCATCTTGACCTCAGAGGAAAGAAAGGGAAACCAACTGAGCTGAGCACCCTCCCCACCCCCCTCACCCCAGGCCGTTATCTTGCTGAATATGCACCATCTCTCATAAGACTGGTATATTTTGAGTCTGATCTTACAGAAGAGGAAACTGAGCTCAGAGACCTTAAGTAACTAGCCAAGGTCACACAGCTAGTAAGTGGCCCAGCTGAGATTTCACTTTGAGATTTGAACCCCAAATCCGCGCTTTTTTCCATTACACCATAGCTATCTCCGAGACTTACTGAATGTCTCCTCAAAGGGCAGGGCTGTGACCACTACATTCCTCCTTGAAGGGCTGGCCTCTTCCTGGGAAGCTGGCCCAGGTGTGCATTGGGTAAGAGGACCAACCCGCGGCTTGTCTGGGGAGGCACACCCAACTCCTGCTCCTCCATTCGAGGCTCTTTGTAATCTGCAGCCACATTGTCTCCCCAGCTCACTCTCCCACAGGGCCCTCACTCCCTCAGCCCCTCACTTATTTTGAACTTCAAGACTTTGCCAGTACACCTCACTTCCCCCACTGAGAATGCCCTTCCTCTCTGCCCACCCAACCTCGACCCTCCTATCAGGGCCCAGGAAGTCCCTAGGAAGTGCCCTAACGCCTCCTACCTACACTGGAGTCTCTGGTCTCCCCCGCACCACTGCCCACCCCACTGTGTGCCCCCCACCACACACACGCACACCGTCTGCTCCTGTAGCTCAGAGCAGATCACCTCTTTGCTCCCCGTCAACAGTGATATATAATAACAGGCAATACTTAACTGAGGGCTGACCGCATGCCAGCTGCTGCACACTAAGCACGTCAAATGTATTAACTCATTTCCTCCCCACAAAACCTTAAGACATTGGTGCTATTTTTCCCCTCATTTTACCAAATGGGGAAACCAAAGCACAGAGAGGTTAAGTACCTTGCCAAGGTCACACAGCTACTGACAACTTCCTCATTGCCTCCAAGCTGAAAACAAAGTCCATGAAAGTCCTACAAGGCTCTTTGGAGCTCTCTCCTCCCTGCAGCTTGCAGGGACCCTACCCCCCACCACTCTCCTGGACCCACACTGCAAACTGCAGCCATACTGGGCTACCCACAGCTCCCAGAGCCGTCAAGCTCTCTCACCTCTCCCTGCCTTTGTCCATGCTGTTACCTCTGCCTGGGTCCTAGCTCTCTGAAGTCTCCCATTAGCCCTCCCCTCTTTCCTGTTTCCTGTGGACATTGTACCCCACCTCTCCACTTCTATCAATTGTTTTTTTTGCGCTTCTCTGTTGGCCTGTCAGTTCTCCTACTGAGAGTTCCTTGACAGTAATGAAGTGGTCCTACCAGTAGACTCCAGAACAGGGCCTGTGAGGTCGTCAGCGCCAGGAAATGTTTGTGAATGAATGAATGCTTACTGCTGCGAGTGAGGCCCACTCTCCACCAACAGACCCGAAGAGAGGGGCCCACGTCTGGCCTCAATCGCTTCTTCCTCGGGGAGGCTGCGCCCAGAGAAGGCTCGGAGGGTGCTCCAAGGCAGGCTCTGCGAGGCACCTCCGGGAGCCGTCGACACGGGCTGGCAGGTGGGGGCAGGGCGTGGGCGCGGACAC